TAGGACAGCTGAGAATTTCCTGACTAAATGGAGCTTCATGATTTCCTTCCCAGGTTAAGGAACATCCTCTCAGTGGTCGGCACAGATGCATTAAAGAAGACCAGGAAAGATGATGACAGGTCCAAAAAGTCCAAAGAAGAGGTGAGGGTGTCTCCTGTCCCTCAGTGCTGAGGGAGGAATGGTGTATCCAGCTGTGCTATATCCAGGACTCTGCCTTTGGCCAGCCTCTGGATTCTCATGCCATCCTTTCAGGCTTTTTCTGTGTTGCCCATTTCAGCAAATCTGTGGCAATGTTTGGTCACAGTGAGGAGCACCAAGTGTGGGTTTTACTCACAGACCCTGCTCTGTGCTGCACTCAGTGTGCAGACAGGAGAGCAGCTGTGTGGGCTCTTACCTACTGCAGCAAGTCCCTTACTTTCCTTCACACTTGGGAAGAAAAAAAATATGTTCCTGCTGCTGCATCTGTCTGTGCCTTTGATTACTCTTTCTGCTTCTGTCTCTCTTCTGAGTCTCTTCTGCCTTATTATTTTTGAGCTGTACTGTAGGAAAGAATTGGACTTTTTCTTTACTGGGTGATGTGTAAACAAGGAGGGAGTTACATGTCAGTAAATGCAGATGAGCCAGGGTTCAGCTGGAGTGTTGAGTGAAGTGGCAGCATGTCAGGATTGGGTCTGTAGGGCAGAGAATTTGATTTATCTCTCCAAATCCCTTTTCCTGGGACTTAATTGTGCAGAAAGCCCTTAAAAAGAGGCCAGAGCACAGCAGGGTTTGGGGGCAGGTGCTGCTGGAAGGAGCTGAGGGGAATGAACACAGGGGCAGCAGCACCAGAGCTTTTCCATCACTTTTATTCCTTTTTTACAGTATCAGCAAACCTGGTACCACGAGGGCCCACGGAGTCTGAAAACAGCCAGGCTGTGGCTGGCCAACTACTCCCTGCCCAGGTGAGAGAAAACACAAAACATTTGTCAAAGAAATACAGGGGCAGATCCTGCTGGGGGGAGCACTGGAAATGCAGGGAGTGGGGAGCAGGTCCAGTGAGCCCAGAGCTGGAGCTCTCAGGAACTGATCCTGGGAATAGCAGGGAAAAGGCATTTCCAGGGGCAGGGTGGGAAGTTTGGGGGAAGAGCAGAGAAAAGGCATTTCCAGGACAAGGAAGGGGCAGGAGGGGATGTTTGGGGGAAGAGCAGGGAAAAGGCATTTCCAGGGGCAGGAGGGAAGTTTGGGGGAAGAGCAGGGAAAAGGCATTTCCAGGGGCAGGGTGGGAAGTTTGGGGGAAGAGCAGGGAAAAGGCATTTCCAGGACAAGGAAGGGGCAGGAGGGGATGTTTGGGGGAAGAGCAGGGAAAAGGCATTTCCAGGGGCAGGAGGGGAAGTTTGGGCATTTCCAGGCCAGGGAAGGGGCAGTTCTGAGGGCTCCCACCCCACCTTTGCTCTCCCCAGGGCAGCAAAGAGGCTGGAGGAGGCTCGGCTGCTCAAGGAGATCCCCGAGGCCACCAGGACATCCCAGAGGCAGGAGCTGCACAAATCCCTGAGGGTAGGTTTGGCTTTGGCAGCTGCTCCACTGCTGTGCTCACAAGGTTTGGCTGATCCTCTGAGAGCCCAGCAGGAATTGAGCTGCCTGAGGTGCTGTCCACATGCACATCAGTCTGTGCAGTCTTGGGAAGTTCTGCTTTTCCTCTTTCCCTGTGTCTCTAAGGCCTTTTCTGACTCTTTCAGAGAAGGAAGGAGGAGATGTAATTTGTCCCTGGGCATGGCAGAGGGTGCAGAGATGTCCCTGTCCTGCCTTGCCACTCACCTGTGAGGCTAAAGGAATGCATTCCTGCCTCTGGCTGGGGAGCCCAGGAATGCCAGGGCAATACCAACTCTGGGTGCTGAGCATGGTTGGGATGACTCTGAGATGCCCTTTGTGAGCGTGCTAAGCCAGATTCCCAGCTTAACCAACCAGAGAGGCTCAGGCAGAGTGTGCTGCCCCCCTAATCCTGTTTACTCCAGAGGATTTGTTCTCCCCTCTGCCCTGTCTGTCTGGTTGGATTCTTTGGATGATCTGTGGGCAGATGCCAAACTCCAGCCAGCTCTGTGTCAGAGCTGCAGCTGCAGAGCTCTGGGGCTGGGGCACATACCAGGGGTGTTCCTGGGGGGCTGAGCTGGGCCAGGCTTGCCCTGGCCCTCCTGCCTGCAGCTGCAGTGGCTCTGAGGCACCATCTCCCCTTGAAAGTGACTTCCCAAGGGCCTCTGCCTCCTCCTGTGCACGTTTGCCTCCCTGACCTCAAGCTTTGGCAGGGGATAGCTCTGGGCTGGTTGTATTTCAGTCATTTATTGATGATTTTCTTTGTATTTCTTACAGTCCTTGAATAACTTCTGCAGCCAGATTGGGGACGATCGCCCGCTGTCCTACTGCCACTTCAGCCCCAACTCCAAACTGCTGGCCACAGCCTGCTGGTGAGCCTGCCTTGGCAGCACCTGCCCTGGGGGCTGGGGGAGCCAAGGAATGGTTTTGGAGCCTTGGGAGAGGCTGCTCTGAGCTCTCATCACCTCATTTAGAGCTGAGCAGAGATTGATTGATCAAGAACATTGATCTGTTCCTTGCTGTCCTTCTCCACTGACATCCATTCCTTGTGTTCACAGGAGTGGGCTGTGCAAGCTCTGGTCTGTGCCTGACTGCAACCTGGTTCACACCTTACGAGGTACTCAGGGGCTCTCACTGAGGCTTCTGCTTCTTTTGTTCCTTTCTCTGCTGAGCTCCCACATCTGAATTACTTTGTGGTTTAAAATGTGGTGTTCAGGCAGATTTCTGTCTTACTGAGAGCATCCCTTGGCTTGGGAGCATGGGAATGTGTCATATAATGAAAAGGGAGACCTGGCCTTCAGCTCAAACCTCAGCTCCAAATTTGCTGTTTCTGTTTTTGAACAGTTTGGTTTGGTTTCCAAACCTGGTTTGAGTTACAAACAGCTGCAGTTTTGGGCACTTGACAACAGTGAGGTTCTTCGAGTAGTGGTCACAACTTGGACTAAATACAGATGTGAGGACAAATCCTTTGATTCATATATTGAATTTTTGAGGGTTCCAAACTTTCATTTTGGATGCTCTGCCTTGGGTGCTCCTGGAAGTGCAGTTTGGCTGGGGGTGACAGGGCAATGCCACCTCCCTCCCCAGTGCCAAGGAAATGCTGCTTTTCTGAAGAACTGGCCAAGATCTTGTGGCAGATTCTGAATTTTGCTTTTCTTTCCCTTCAGGACACAGCACCAACGTGGGGGCCATCGTGTTCCACCCCAAGGCCACGGTGTCCCTGGAGAAGAAGGACGTGAGCCTGGCCTCGTGTGCAGCTGATGGCTCTGTCAAACTCTGGAACCTGGAAAGGTCAGAACTGTTCCAGATGTGCACAGCTGCAGCATTGTTGTGCTGGGGTTCATTCCATGTTCCTGCAGACATTCCTGCCAATGTGACCTTTTCTTGTAGCTGCCCCAGTGCTCCCCTGGCCTCAGTATGTGCCACCCTGTTCAGCAGGAAGAGATCTCACCCTGATTAGGGAGCCCAGGTGAGGGAGATGGTCTGAAAGGGACTGAGGCAGAATTGCTGCTGGGCATTGCTCAACTGCTGGGGGTGATGGATGGAAGGTCTGGGGACTGTTTCATTCTAACAGCTCACTTAGGAGAAAATTGCCCCTCTTGGATATTAAGAAATGAATTTTTGAGTGGTTGGAAAGCACCAGGATTTGGAGAGGGATTGACCAAATGCACAACCATATTACAGTGACTGTAGACGGTCACTGTGGTGAGAGAAGGATGAGAATCTTGTTTCTTGATCAGAAGGCTTGATTTATTCATATATGATATATAATACATTATAACTATACTAAAAAGAATAAGAAGAGAAGTTGCAGAGAGCTGCTCAGCTAAGAATAGAATAGAAGGAATGAATAACAAAGTTCTGTGTGCAGGGAATCTGTCCCTGAGCTGCTCTTGTGATTGGCCTTTAATAGTACACGTAGAAGATGAGCCAATCACAGGGACACCTGCTCCATTTCACAGCAGCTGATAACAATTGTTTACATTCTTCTTCTGGGGCTCTGCTTCCCAGAAGATGGACAAATCTCAAAGAAAAGATTTCTATGAAAAAATGTCTGCGACACAACCAGGCACAAATGTTCTGCCTGTGCTGCAAACAAGTGGCTGTCAGTGCACAGAGGAGCTCTGGCAGTTGGGCAGCACCTCCCTCAGGCCTGGGAGAGGAGAAGGGTTCAGGTACTGAGCCTCAGCATCCCTGCTTGAGAACTGGAGCCTCAGGGCTCCTGGGAAGGGCAGGCAGCTCCAGAGGCACAGCTCTTTATCCTCAGCTGAAATCACAGTTTGTAACAGCAAAAGTGCCCCTGTGCAAAGGGACAGGGGGCTTGTTAGGCTCATGTGACACAGCTCTTCATTAACCTGTTGGAAAGAAAGTGCTGTTCAGTGGCTGTGGGAGTGCTCCTGACCTGCTGCCTGTCATTCTGGGAGAATCAATGTCCCCTGCATCCTGCAGAACAGCAGGAGCTGCTGCAGTTCAGGATGTTGTGTTCTCAGAACTCCCTGCAGTTCAGGTAGGTCATGGTTTGTTTCTGTACTTCTGTAATTCCAGAAGTGCTATTTCATTAATCATCATCATCATCCCAGGAGAGCTTTACAGCCCACAGGAGGTGTGGAGAAAGGGTTTCACTCAGAGTTTGGAATGTGGCAGAGTTCAGAGTCATTGGCTACAGCTCTGCTGTTCCTGCCTGGTTTGATTTCCTCAGCAGAGCTTTGCTGCCATCACAGTGTGTGAGCAAGGCCTGGCTCGAGCCTGACCCCAGTGGCCAATGGTTTGTTCTGTGTTTGTTCTGTGTTTCAGTGATGAGCCCGTGGCTGACATTGAGGGACACAGCATGAGAGTGGCCCGAGTGATGTGGCACCCCTCAGGGAGGTTCCTGGGCACCACCTGGTACGGACACCTGGGCATCCAGAGGTGACCATGGGC